TACACACTTAACTCAATAATATGGATTAGATCAATTAACTCACCAATTGATTGTTATCATCAAAATCCGAGATTCAACATTTATATGGTTTATCTCATAGTGTAGTAAAAAATAATAATCGATCTCTCCTACAATCTGAGTATAATGCAAGGACTCTCACTTGTTACTAAGAATATATATGATTAAGACATTTAATTAAAGATATTTACTATTAAATTAATAAATTAATTATTTTATAGTACGACGATCAAAGTGTTTTAAGATTGGCTACAAATCTAACTTATCATGCAAGAACCAAGCATATTAAAATTAAAAATTATTTTATTCGAAAAAAAATACTTCAATGAGTCATTAAACTAATAAAAATCAAAAGTTAAGATAATATCATACATATCTTTACCTAATCTGTCTCCAAAGACCATTTAAAGACCTTTGAAAAAAAGCTAATATTTATTTTCAAAATATACTCAGGGAGTGTTAAGATTTAAAATATTATCTTTTAAAATATTTTAGATTTTTTTATCTTTTATCTTATAAATAAATTGATTAGATAGAGTTTAGAGATAATAATCTCTTGATCAAATTGTTATTCTATACTTATAAATAAACAATATTTACATATGTAAATCTATGCAAGTGTAACAGTTAAGACATATAAAACTCAAGAAAAATAGTTTAAAATTCTATAAATATTTTTTATTTTGGAGAAATTCAATATAACTTTCTGTTTTTTTTCTACTTCAGTCTTGATTTCTTTTTTCTTTCTTCTTCTTTTATTTGATTTAATCTTAGAATAATAATACCTTATTATTATTATTAAAAAAAATACACTTACATGTGATCTCCATTCTTCGTTTGAAGTGCCATCAGCCCCGAAAGAATAGTACAGATGCAGCCCTAAAAGCAGTAGCAATAGAAATATATTGGTCCAGCATCAGATTTCCTCCCCACATGATAAGACATTATCAAGCGTAAACCTATCGACCTTTTTTCCATCCAAAAGGCACGTAGATTCGTTAACAATAGGCGAAGGACATAAAGAAATCCAGATACTGAGCTTTCTGGATCTAAACTCGAATGTTATATACCCAGTGAAATCATGACTTGATCCAAAAAAAATATATCATCCCATCTAAAAGAGATCAGATTGCAAGGCAGAAACCTCCAATCTATACTGCATAAAGGGCTATTGGTTGCGACCCACTTGCATGCGACCACACATGCAAAATGAAGCCGAGGACTTTAATTAGTGCAGGTGACGTTGAGTACTTAAATAGCTGCACCAGAGAACAAGTGCTGCAATACTACTAATAGGTGCATAACTATGGGTGGCCACTAAAAACAGTGGGTGGCCAAACTAGCTTCGGGCATATCTTAATCCCAGATTAGAGGCATGCTCAAAAGGTGGATACCTTGGCAATCACCAATTATATATGCTAAACTGTATTTTAGTGATAGATGCAGCATCACTAGTGTGCACTACCCCACATACTTCGTTTCATCTCTGGAAAGCTGGCCATTGGAGATCTTAAACCCTATCCAACAACGTTTTCCTCTCACCTAATATTCTTACGTAAGTGTTAAGGGAGCAGAGGGAAAGACTTTAATAGCATCAGTCTGCAACGTTGTACTTATACATATATTTGGTTTGACTACGAACCAGTAATATACCCCGTATGCTAAGTCGTGTGGATTCAACTCTTGCATGCCCATAGGAACACCAGGATCCCGTCAATGGATCCAATCTCCCCATTGCGAGAGAAAAAGAAGGCGAAAGTGCCTATTTATTGCCTGTAAACGTTGATGAACAACAAAGAAACAGCCTCTCACATGTGATAATGGAAAAGTATTTTAGAAAGAGAGTTGCAATTGTCACGTAATAATCTTCACAAAACCAATATTGACTGTGCGATCAGAGCACGTTCTAATACTTCTTTTCCTTTTATTTTGGCTGCAGCTTCATGCTTTTCAAGATGGTACGTATCCCCCCTTATCTCGATCATTCCAAGGATAAATGTCCCCACCTCGTGCAGGACTAATCTTCCTGATGCTCACTATTTCGTCTGCATGCATGATTACCGAATAAGAAGTACATCAATATGTAACTTCTATGATGAATAATAAAGAAACCTGAAGCAATAGTGATTGCGGGAAAAAGAAGAAAGTAATCTGCCTCTAAAACTTGCTCCCAGCACCAGATTCGGTATGAGCATGTAGCATGATCCTTGAATCCAGTAATATTACCGTCATATGATTCCAGAAGCTTTCATCTATGAAATCACATGAGAGCTTGTCGCCCAAAGCAACGCTTCAATCTGTGCCATCTATTGTAAATTGCAAGTACCACCGAGAAAGTGCCCACTTCTCTACTGCGGAGTTTCAGGTAGAGCTACTTGCTTTTATGGTAATTCCATAGAGATTTCTGTTCATTGTGGATTGCACATCCTTCCATCAATCGGTGGTGGCGATCGTACTCCTTCACTAGAACGAGATGGGCGGATGAAAAATGAGCTTCTAATCTGCTTAGAGTGGAATTGCAGAACCATTAAATGGTGAGATAGGTCAATCTACTTAAAAGGAGGGGTAATAAGTGGAGATGACCCAACCTGAAAAGAATACCGTATCATCACAGTCCATGAGACATCAGAGCATGCAAGATGACTACAACTCTCATGGACCTCAGAGTTATAAGTTTGGGCCATGCTGACCAAGGTCCACCTCAGGCATCTCCTCCCTCAACCTTAGCGATCCAAAAGAACGCCTCGTGACCAAGGTGAATGCCTGGAGAGAGTGTAACTAAAGATGAACTGTTATTATGAACCCACACATCAAAGTCTCAGTGGATCTTAGATCGCGATGGAAACATCAAAAGGAAATGATATCGGACCTAAAATAAGAATAACATATCTTGAAAATTTATGAAACGTTCTACTTTGATATAACGAAAGAAGAAATTAAGAAGACAAGCGATAGATGATTTATTTGCTTGGCTTACAAAATTTAGAACAATATAAACTGCCACTTATCGTATGAGATCAAGTTGATTTAATTTGAACTAATTACATATTATTTCTATAGTTAGCTACCTTTGATATCTCGATCCTCGTACTCTAAGAGTTATATTGAGTTTTTATATTTACGAAAATAAAATATTTAACGTTATTTCTTCTCATGTCATCGATTTGCTGACGAAAATACCGCACATGTGAAAAATAATATTAAAATAAAATTTATAAAATAATTTTATAGTGTTATTTTCACCGATATTAATTTCTCCTTTTATAACTCTTGTGAAATCAATTTTCTTCTGTATCCTTTCGGACGATCTCCCAATAGGAAAAGATTCGATTAAATCTCGAAAATATCATTTCGATCTAAGCTTGAGCTTAGCTATCAACATCCTCCAATAGTCGACCCTTCTATTCTTCTCCGACATATCCCTTCTCTTCGATTTTTTTTTTCTTTGAATGATGATAATAATATTATAGAATTATTTTTTAAATTTTATTTTATATCACTTTTTATACGTGATAATATATTCAGTATTTTTATCAATAGAGTCGACTATACAATATTTTCATCAGCAAAGTCGATTATTCGGAAAGAAATGAGATTAAATATTTTTACTTTCATAAGTATAAAAATCTTAATATAATTTTTAAAAAAAATATAAGAATCAGTTTTTTAATGGTATTTAACTGTCTCGTCATCTTTTGTTAATTAGCCTAAGAAATAAACTGCCACATATCAGGCCTTTGATGTCGTTATAATGAATCCGCTACAACAGTTAAAAATCACCGGCGCGGAGGCGGAAGAGACTGTTCCGTTTCAAAGCGATGGCTCTGACGTGGCCGGTGTAGGATTCATTGGGAGAACCAATGGAGACGTCTCCTCGAAGCCAACAGTCCGGCGATGGAAGCTTTTGCCGTGAGAGGAGTTCCAACCTTCCTGCACTCCTCTTCTTCTTCTTCTTCAGCCACGCGACGATCTCGGGTTTCGTTCTCGTCTCTCCCCTCCCACTCGCGCGCGTGCTTGAGGCGCCTCCATCCCTTCCAACAGGGAACCCTACCCTCCCGCTTCATCTCTTACGGCAACCGGAACCATTGCATGGCCCTGCAATCCGACGCCAGTTCTGTTGTGGAAGCCCCTTTGAAGGTAAACCCCTGCTTTGTCCATCTATGTATTTTCAGTTTAATTCCGGGCTGTGGAGACAAGATCTTGAGGACCCATCTTTGTCGTCTTTGATGATAAGGGTTCTTATGACGGCTCAATCGCACAAGTACTTTTTTTTCCCCTCTTATTTTTCTTCTTGATTTGGGCTTTGCGTTTGTGCCTTGAGTCGATGACTCTTCAAGTGTCCCTAATTCAAGAGCATATTCTATCGTTAGGTTGGTATCTAGATAGATTTTCCAGTTTGTTAATCGATTCCACATCGTCGAAGCGGAGGAGTTATGGAACGGGACTTTGTTTGTTTCCCCGTGAGGGATTGTGAAATTTTTATACTTCTGCTGGATGTTAATTGAAGGTGACTGCATGCTTTTCTAGTTTTCTGTATCTTCCCGAGACTTGAACTGCAGAACGGTCTAACTTTCCTGTGGTCACCGATCATAAACCACGTCAAATTTCATGCTTGTCCATCAGCGCTCTTAGCTAATATCTGTTTTTTATGTTTGTCCTGTTTGATATTCATGCATTATTAAGCTGAAATCTTCTTGAGGCTTATGGCACAACTTACAAGGGCTACCAGCTTCATTTTTTAATTAGCTCATTCTAATGATAAATCTGCAAACTTCATCCCTTTTTGTTTCGTTGAAATTAATAAACTCGAAGAGTTTGATCTTGTCTTTGCTACAGGGTAATGAGTTATTCCTTAGAACAATGATCTCAGGCATGGAGAAGGTCTACTTGAGCAGAAATCCAACTGCTAAGGCCATTCTGGAACTTGTTAGGAAGGATGATGGAGAACATATCTGCTATGATCATTTTGCTTTCCGAACTTTTGGGGTAAATTCATACCTTTGTACTTATTTTCCTGAATTGAACCAATGTATTATTGCCCTTAGGTTAACCTACCATGAACTTTTTCTGTCTTTGAAGGTAGATGGGCATGGCATTGATTCCATGGCCAAAATATTCTTATATTTTGGTTATAAGCCACGTGAAGAATTGAGATTTCCTGCAAAGAAGTTGAGAGCATTGTGGTTTGCCCCTCCCAGTACTGGATACGGTGAAAATGGGACTGGCGTTGATGGGGCTTTGCCAAGGATATTTATATCAGAACTTCTTGTGGATCAGCTGAGTTATGAAAGTCAGGTTGAGTCTCTATAATCTCTTTTCGGATGTTTGACAATTTACTACATTATAATGGGGTGCTGCTTTCATGTACTTATTTCTTTTTGTTGGAAGAATCATAATTATCCTATTCCCAATGATTGTGAAATTCCAATATGTTAAACAATAAAGCAAACCATATAATGATCTTATGTGTGTGAAAGAAATTGAGTATTGCAAGACTTTCCTTTTATGGGCCTCACATTTTTTATGAGGTGCACAGGATGCACACCTTAGGTGCACCTTGTTAAAGCTGATGGAACACAGCACAAGACTAGGACCTCCAAAAGCCTAGTGTGCCTTTGACAACATTGATGACTTTTCTGATCTTGGAACTAGTATTTAATATGGTATTGATGAAACTTAACCCATATTTTCCTGACTTTCTAGGTTACATGTTGATCATTAGTGTTTCCAAATGGTGTGCCAGAACAATAATGCATGCAGATTTTATGCATTATTGTCTTCCTATGTTATCAGCAATCTGATTTGTTGGTTAACTAATATGTTTTCCTTCTGGTTTGGTTTTTCAATTTTAGTTTAGCTAGCTTTTGTAAATTAAACACTTAGTTAAAATTGATGTTGATCACATAAAGTGTTTCTTATATGCAGGAAGTAATAAGAAAATACATCAAAACATCTGATAGTGGATATGAACATGCTGCTCTTGCAAGTACCATGGGATGTCTGACTTGGGAGAAGCCTTTGTATTCTGATTATCAATTACTATCTAGGTATTTCGACAAGTTGAACTTCCTATTATTTCAGAAGCAGAGTGTTGTTCATTTTTGGTGTGACGAGAGGGTGTATAATATAATTCTTACCATTCATTAGGTGCTGGTGGGAACATGTTCTCTCAAGTTGATTCTATGAATCTTAATTATTAACTGAAACTTGTGGAGCATGTAATTAAAATAAGTTGGTTTTCTTATTTGTTTCATTTGTTGATTCATTTTCAGAGAGAGTGAATACGCTGCATGGACACTTGTTAATGGTTATGCGTTGAACCATGTCACTATTTCTACTCACCGGCTGAAGTCCCATATCAGAAAAATCGACAGATTTAACCAATTTATTCATGCTAATGGATTTAAGTTGAACTCTGAAGGAGGAATCTTGAAAGGTTTGCTACCAGCTTTACATTCCTTGAATTGAAGATTCGAATAGTACAACTAGTCCTTTAGACAGCTTGACTTGGCCAATGTTTTTAATTGATGAAATATCAAAAATATTTTGTTTACTTGTGTAACTTTTAAAGAACCAGTCAGCATTGTATAAAAGAAACTAACATGGCATTCAACTAAATATGTGCATTTAAGAATTATTTATCAAGTAATGTATATTATGATTCTGAAGAAGTTCTTTATATATCATGACTGTAATATACATACTGTATAAATAGCCAACATATCCAACAAATACTTCTGGTTGGAAGCTTTAGCTAGATCTCTCATTTGTCAAGTGCATACTGTCAGTCCATGCATTAATCCAAAGACATATGCTTGTTTTCCACTTGCCAGAAGGAATTGGCTCCATGTGACCACTCTTTTCTTCGCATGAGCCTTTTTCCACTGACCAACTAGAAGTCATTCCACTGGAAAACAAGAGCTGAATTGGTTGTCTTCACTAATAACTTGTTGATAAGAGGTTTCTTTTACTTGGTTAGATTATGTGCATTCTGAAAGAAGTCTTCCATGGATGATTTCTCGATGGACTGGTCGACTTATATCTTATAGATCTGTTTCGCACAAAATGAAGATGATCTTCATAACACCTTCTTTTCTAAACTAGAAACAACAAACCTACTATTAGTTAATTACTCATTTGTCAATACTGCTGATATCTTAGTTACGTATATGTTTATATTTATACTATTGGAAAAACCAAGCTCTTCAGCTTTCCTTCTATTTTATCTTTCATGAACAGTGAGCCCTGATGGCCTTCTACTACAAAGTTCAACTGTTGCTGATACAACTTCCTTCAAATTTGCTGATGGTGTAACTGAGTATGTCGCTTGTTCGTACATCGAGTTTGCAGAACGCCTTTTGCTTCCCGAGTACGAAAACATACCTGATGAAGAGGTATGGATTTATTAGTCTTTGTTTTCCCCGATTTAAGTTTAATATTAAAGATACTGATGTCTCAATTCAAAGGAACACTTGCCTTCAAGTAACAAAGATTATGTCATCAATTAGGCAGACAACACATACAGGAGATATTCTATCATTTGAGAGAGCTTACCGATAATGTCATCATTACATCTTATAGACTTTCTAATGATCTTTACTAGTTAAATATCCTTTTACTTGAAGTTCCATTACCCTTGTATTGATTGTCACATGTGAAACTGTGGAAGACCTTTATTGACACCCTCGCCAGCACCCGTGGATGTCGTGTGATTTTTTCTCTTCATCTAGCTCAGATATCAGTCAATTCATTATTATCATGCAACATCCTCTAGGTGCACTAACGTTTTGGTCAAAGTCTGCTACATGCTCGTAAATAAGGTTTGGTAATACAAAACTTCCCGAGTAGTCGCAGTTCACCAGAAACGTAGTAACTTGTATAGCTTGCCCATCGAAGGTTTGCAAATGGTAACCACTGACCTGTGTGATACTTAGAACCTTTGGACCCTCTTCTGTGTTCATGATATTATATTGTTGACATTATTACAGTTCCATATTAAATATATAATCTGTTTATCTGAACATTAAATGGTTCCCTTGCAATACATGTATATATTCTCTTTCACTCATGGTTGTGCCTCTATGTGCCTGTAGGCTCAAGAGTTCCATAGGCGTGATGGTTTTGAAGTAGGCAATGCTGATAAGATCTTTGAAAGCACATCAAGGGATCAAGTAACAAGGAAAGCTGCTTGACAGATGAATCTGGATATCTAATGAAAGCAATGCCATGAGTATGGACTATCCAGTCACCATCCTCTGTATCTATACAGATCCAGTTAATTTACAGATCTGATAAATAAGGATATTGTAATTTGTATGTATCTAACATATGTCAGATGTGAACTGTTATTGCTGTTACCAAAATACTTATCGTCATGTTCGATGAGATCAATTTATAAACAGAGGGGATGAACTGCCTCTCGCCCAATTAGAAACCATTCTTTATCCGAGTTTTGAGTACGGCTGGACTGAATGTGATGCATCAGCCAAGAAAAAAAATATTTAAAATATTTGACATATCCTAAAGCAAGATGCATTCGTGTCTATTCGACATGCGATCTATTTGTTCAAGATTAAAAAAAAAAAGTATTTAAAATATCAAACTCATTAAAATATTTTCTATATAAGCGGTATATCTCCTGAAACAAAAGTTTCCGAAATCTCCAATGTAACTAAAGTGTTTGTTTTGTTAATGGATGTGATGCATCCATCCACCTATGATAAGAAAGCCTCCCAAGTATCTAATGCAAGAAAAATATTAATTTGTGTGTATAATAAATACATCTATCCAAAATGAAAGAAAATTTAATACAATAAAAACGTCATCATGCCACTAGAGCACTTCCTCATTTGTTTAACACATGAAGCACTTGATAGGATCAAAGAATTCTCTTTACTAGTGATTTGTTGTTTGATCAAGACAAAAGATATCTAATGCGGTGATGTGACCAAGGCATCTCAATCTTTTCTATGCATTCATCTATGATAATAAAAGAAAAACAATCTAAACACCATCTAATCATTTTTTAACTTAGATAATAACAAACAAGGTATTATGTTCCCATATGGACAGCCCTTAATCAGAATACAAGCCTCGCCGCCTTTGTCAATATTTTTGGCGGGAAAATTTCCATATAAATCCACCAAATCTTTTCCCGATCATCCCCAATTCATGACAACTCTCTCAAACTTCACCTCGAAACCCTAGCAATGGAAGATGCGCAAGACGATCGAGAGCAACAACGAGGAGCGGGAGGAGGAGGACAGGAAGCAGAAGAAGAAGAAGAAGAAGAAGAAGAAGAAGAGGAAGAGGAGGAGGCTGGAACGCTAAGCCCGTCTTTCCCGATGGGGAGGGTGAAGAAGATAATGAAGTTAGATCGAGAGATCAACAAGGTGAACTCGGAGGCTCTCCTCCTCATCTCTCTTTCTGCCGAACTCTTCCTCGCATCCCTTTCTGCTGGCGCACGCCACGCGGTCCTACAGAAGAAGCGGCGGATCATCAAGCTCGACCACATCCGCTCCGCCGCCCGCGCCCACCGGCCCACCGCCGCCTTCCTCCTCGATTGCCTTCCCAAGCCTCCTCCGCCCCCGAAAGCAGTGTCGCCTACCTTAAAAGCCAGATCCGCCGATGAGAAGCCCCTCCCTCCCGGCGCCCGCCGCATCGATGATTTCTTCCGGAAGCCCTCGGCGGATACTCAGTGATCTCAATCGGTGGTACGCCTCGCTGCCCCCCTTTGCGTTTTCAGATCACGTGGCCGGTGCCGTTTAGTAATCGTCAGAGGGTAAATGAGTAACCGATCGGTTTGATTGCTATCTATTATTGCATCGAAAGCTTACGATTTAATATCTCAAAACATCAATTTCTTTGATGATTATATAATTGTTGCTGCCATATTTCCTGCTAAATGATATAAAGTTCTTTAGAGATTTTGGCTTTTAAGCTCTTTGAGATTATCTTTTTAACATCTAAGTGACCTTTCGAGGAAATTAGGGTTAGACGCTGTGGTCCTGTTGTACATTATGGTCTAAGATATATACATTAGGGTTAACTAGGGAGGAGAACATGAAGCTCTCGGAGATCAAAACCGACTCATCTGAGGTGGTGAAGCTGCTTCAAGTCCAACAGATACTCCTTGGAGACTGCTTAGCATTGTTAGAAATAAAATAGCCTTGATAGGTTCCTTCGAGGGTGTTAAAGTCTGTCATATATTTAGGGAAGGGAACCGTTGTGTAGATTGGTTGGCTGATTTTGCCAACAAAGTTTCTTTTTGTGGAGAGGCTACTGACTGAACCCTTTTGCTTCCTTTTTGAGTGCTTATTCTTCTTGCACTGACTGTATTCGCTGCTTTTAAGTGATATAAATTTTTCTTTTTGCTTTCTTTTAAGTGATAAAAAATATATTATACATCAAAAGGTATTACCAGCATCATTCAGTCTTATTTGTTAGTGACCCTAACATGTGAGCAGAGCTCAATTACTGAGATGTTGCCTGAATTTTCAGACAATTGATGGGAATGTCATTGGAATTGATCTTTAATACCCATTACAATTGATGAAATGATTGGCATGTCTTGGAGTCTGAACTTCCAAATGACAGGGATCTTGTATATTTTCTTGTTTAGGACATTTTTGTATAGATACAATTGTCAGTATCTGCTCTGATTTCTGCTGATCTTGCACTTCCCGAGATCATTATTATATTTTGCCTTAATTATTTGAATTAGTTCATCAAACAATAGGTCTTCAAACTCTTTCATCTCACAATGTAGTATCTCAAAGCATCACCAGTTAATATGATTGTAGGTGTCATATTTCCTAATTTATGATATGAACTCAATAAGGCATCTACGTTGTCATCTAGGCCTTTGATTGTTACCATCTTGTTGTGTAAGTGATCATTGAAGAAATTTGAATATTTCTATCATCAGGATTAAATGCTTCTGTTTGAAGAATGCAAACCATCTAGAATTTTCTGTTTTAATGCAATGATGGGCATGAAAATTAGTTTACTATTGTTATAATGTGATGATTATTTGATTATTATTATGTCCCAGTTTTAGTCACTCTCAATTTAGTATCTTAGAAACCATTGATCAGTTGCAAGCATACACAAGGCACGGATGGTCCACTTGCACTAGTCATTCAACTCATATGAGCTGGCTCATTAGTCCCACACACATCAAACCTTAGATCTTGTGCTATTATTTGCTATGGCACCCAACCAATTCTTGAGAGAAGCTAAGGTTTAGCAAGGTTTAGCAAACAAACATTTAGCATGTAAAAGACCTGCATATAAGAGGGAATACTTGTACCTATTAGGGATCAACAACTATCCCTTTATTCATATGAGCATCGTTCTGTTTATTGCCTTTGATGTTGCATATTATAGTAGATATTTCATATTAGCATTTGATATGGTACGTAACAGATGTATGGCAAAGCTCTGTTTGTATATGTTTCTAAAATAATTTTGAAATTAAGCCTGTCATGTTGCAATGAGATTTTCCAATTGAAACAGAGAGCTTGATGAAGTGTTACTAGCTTTAGATTTCGGGAGTAGTGGTCATTCGCATGCCGTTTATATATGTTAGTCACAGCTTCAGGTTCTGTTTTGTTTTTTTTTTCATTTATTTGCTTTTCTTCCTAGCTTAACTTTTGGAAAAGAGTAGCTGCTAGCTCGATTGGGGAATGAAGTCTAGACAATTACTATCAAGTGTATGTATTCTAGTATTAACTAGCAAGTAGTCATGAAAGGCAAAAATCAACACCACATAAATATATATAGGAAGAGTCTTAACTATCAAGTGGTCATTTAAGCATTTAATTTGCTTCCATCTTTCTGTCTCTCTTTTGGTTTCCCTTTTTGAACCCTTATTTTGTATATTTCAGTTGTAAATAATAGATGGGTTTAGAACAAAAAATTTGTAGTGCCCAAAAAAATGTTTAAACCCTTTTTTCCATTAGATGGCCCAAGAAATGATATGAATGGTCATAAAGTTGTTTTGTTGGTTTCCGTGGGTGTTGATTGACATAGATAGGACCATATGCATCCCCTGATGCTAGATCATGAACTTCACTCAAGATCCTGATCATATGCATGATTGCTTTGTTACCTGCGCCATTGGCTGAACTTAGTTATGTAGCTGTCACATTGCTTCATAAGAAAATGAGTGTGTAGTGGCTCTAGTCAGATAAAGGAAAGGGAAGAGAAAAAAGAAAGATTTGGGTGGCAACTGAACTGACTTCTGGTACGAATTGTTCAAGTTGGTATTTAGATTCTGATCAAACCGTCAAAAACAGACAGGAATAAGATGTTGTCGGAATTGATTCGATTCTGATGCAATATAAGAATCGATTCTTTATGTTTGAGGGTCACTCTGGGTTCATTTTGAGGCACACCAAGCGCTTTGTTAACAATTCGTTGTTTATGCGACTTGTCCATCTAATTGACTAGCACCGCACCCTTTGTGGACATTTTATTTGATCTTAGAAAAGGACATGTTAACTACAATGCTTATTTTCCATGGCTCTCAGATCCGCCAGAATATCTCGGAAAGCTACTTTGCTAACATAAAAAGTCTAACTTTGCCATCAGATACATGATGCAGGACTTGGAGAGATTCGGATACTAGAAGATATCTAGGGCTAGAATAATATCAAATACTAGAAGATCATAATACGCAGCAGAATTAAATGGAATCATAATCAAATAGAATATCAAGATATACGTGAAAAATCCCTTCAATGTGAAGGATAAAAACCACGAGATAAATTAGAGATAATCCATTATGAGAATAATGAATATATAAATCTCAATCTCTTGTCCTAAACCCTAGCAACAATCACAAGAGAATAATTGGGATACAAGGATCACGTCACTGTCCATGATATCTAAAACATCCCCAAGTAATCACAACAAGAGTTTACTGTAGATTTGATCTAACCTGAGAACACTGCTAGATGATTGAGAACAGCCTCTTCGCGTTGTCCTTGTCTTCTTCCCTTTCTTTCTCTTTCTTTTCTGTCTTGTTTTCTTCCTTTTCTTTGGAATCCCGTGGATATTTCTTCTTCTGCTGCCCTATTTATGTTTTTTTCTGCCTCAAAAAATACAGCCACCACACCCTCTAATATTAATCAGGGTTAGGTTAAGAGGGAGTATGGGCTGTGGGCAGCCCAAACCCACTATGGGCTGAATTTGTGGATTGTCAGCCCAACATTTATTTTGTTAAAAAAAAATAAAATATACTTTTTTTTATATATATATATATATATATATATATATATATATATATATATATATATATATATATATATATATATATATATATTTATTACGCGTAGACTTGAACCTTAAAACTATCCCTATGTGTAATAATAAAGTAACAGGTCACACATTATTTCACCGATACTACAAGTGAAATCAGCACTTGGGGGAAAGATCCCAAGCTTAGAGGCTAAGCTAGTCGCTAACTGGTGCCACACTTTTATTCTTATCACATCATTCGTCTCACTTTCTCTTTTGCGAGCCAGTGAATCTTGTGTTCCATGTGATTAGTAGACTGATCAAAATGGACCGCTTTAAAGCAGAGGAGAGGGGACGGTAGGCAGTGACAAATCCACTCGTTGTATTCCCTCTCATCAGTCGCTTGATGGCTATCTTTTCTTATCATGCATGATGAATCAGTCCATCCTGGCTTTTACCGTCTTTCACTACGCCTCTATTAAGCAAGCATATGACCATATTATTTGTCCGTTGGTGTGGAAAATATAGCGATGACTGTCGTGTACGGTTTCATCTGTATAGTTTTAACCTTCACCAGAAATTAATGCAAGCAACGCGGCAATCTGTCATCTCATTTTGTTCCCTAGTTTAGACTGTACTAATCAGGTTTCGAGAATTTACCATTTTGTAGATTGGAAGACTGAACGTCCGGTCGCTGGCGAAGCACTCTTAGTGGTGCTGACGAGTTTTAAGCACGTTTGTGTCCGTGGATCTCGTGCTCGTGAACGATGAGTAACTGTGCATGTAACATATGCCGCCAATCGTACTCAAGCGATCACCATGTAACTTGGCATCTCACATTAATTTCTATGTCGTTGCCTGTGGGTGAGATGCATTTGTCGCCGCTGCTTCCAACCACATGGCAGGTGGTGAGCGACATGAGCTCCTCATAGCATTCTCTACCCGGCCAGAAAAGGATACGCAATAGATATTGGGCTAATTACATACTATTATTATTCTTATAGTTTAACTTATTTAATATATTAATTTTTAAATTTAAAAAATTTATATTGAGATCGATATAGTTATAAAAGTGAACCAATTAATCTCATATATCCTAACATCATCGGTTTTATTGACAGAAAATACAACAATAATATAAAAACGATGAGAAAATGATAATTTTAATGACTTAGTTACGTTTTCTTTTTTTCTTTCTTCTTTATAGTGTTGATGGATGACAGTGTCACTTAGTCCATGGGTGACTATTGTGATTATGATTGATAAGAACGATGTGGTAGTTAGCGAGAATAATATGTGCAAAGAGATAGAAGGAAGAAAACGATGCAGATGTCGATGTTTTGCATATGTGTCAGCGTTGCATAAATGCCAATACTTTGTATTTGCTTTGGCACCGCACAAATGTAAATGCAGAGTATTGCTTAGCATCTGCATCGACATTGACGCAGATGCAAAGCACTACTCGGTATTTGCATCAATGTTGATGTAAATATAGATTAGCGAAAGAAGGAAAAAGGATGAGAGATCAGAAATGGGCAAGAAGAGGGAGGAGAAGAAAGAGGAAGGAGAGCAACGACAAGAGATGAGGCAAAGAGAGAGATAGAAGAGAACAACGAAGATGTCGATGTTCTGCATTTGCATCGGTGCCAATGCAGATGTTGAGCAGTTGTTTCGCTATAGATGCTAAGTGATGTCAC